AGTAATTTAGTTGATTTTGAGTCAATACTAAAAGCAAGTGCCTTGCATAGGCGAAGATGTACAGAAGAATCGCCAGCAGCCAGGAGTAGATTATGAAGAACTTGAAGCACCAAAAGACGGAAGATTAACTATTAAGGACAATTTTTGTGCTGTAATCGTAACTTTAATTTCATGACAAAAGAGTTGTCAGTCTTGTTAAAATTATTTAGTCATTGAATGTTTTGCCCGATTCCAGTTACCTGAGTGAAACACGAAGAATTGTAAAGCGATCGCACGGATTCCTCAAGTTGGCCAAACAGAAGTTTCTGTTTGTGCACTTTTTTGCTTGTCGGGTGGCCGAGGTGAGTGCCACTCATTCCAGATAAATTGCCAGATTAATCCACATGTGGCTTGCAGGAAACCGGCCAGTACAGGTTGGATCACTACATGAAAGAGTCGCTGGTCGCCTACGTGAAACTGGAGCTGACCATCATTCAAGATCCCGAGTATAGCGCCGACTTTAGTGAACAGTCAGCGCTCAAAGAGCGAGTTCTCGTGCTGCTATGGACGATTTATTCCAAGTACATGTTTTACTTGACTGGCCGATCGTGTAGATTGGAGGTGTATGCGATCATTCTGAAGTTTCTGCATGCGGAATTGCCGTCTAAGATTCCGGCCTTTTTTCGCGACTTTTGCGAGTAAGTCACACAAGCATTCATCGAATTCAATTAACTTGGTCATTTACAGGGAACTCAAGAACCTCGTTGCTGGCACCTCCATAGCGCTGCCCTACTTCTCATCCCCAGTTCCAATCAAAGCAGAGTCGTGCGAAATTCCCCAGAACATCTTCCACGGTATTCACATTGCAGTGATGATGGCACAGTCAATGTACTTATTCTGTTTTTTTTTTGTAGAGGACCCAAACACTTCCGGCTTTATATTGGATGAGCTGAAGAAGATGCAGAAACAGGCCGATGACCGCCGACAGATGGAAGAGCAGACGACCTGTATAGAGATTGAGGACGACGACGACGACGATGATAATGGCCAGGACATATGCATACGGTCCATATCAGCTGCTCCGCCGGAGTCCAAGCCGAGAAAGGAAACGGAGTTGCGGGGGTCAAGCAGGCATTCTAGCGAAACTCTCGATCTCCAGTACGACACTAGAGAGTTGACCAACCGGGCCAAGGAGGTGCTGCTGCAGTTTCGGAACATGTTCGGCAGCGAAGGGGTCAGTTCAGTCAGTTCCGCGATTAGTTTTATTGCATGAGTTTAATAAACTGTTTGCTTCCAGGTCTCCATGAGCATCAACGGCAATGGCAAGATCGTGATAGGCACCACGTTGTCTCTAGATCAGAATAAGGGCTCAGAGGCGCTTTGGGAAACTGCCTCCAGTGCCTCAGCAGGCAACGCGCCTCTGCGACCTCAAAACTACCCACAGTATCGACCGTGCTTCGAGGCCGTGCAAAGGTCTGAAATCTATCACAGAGCTAGTGTGGAGTTGGGCAGCAGCAGGGATTTGGCAATGTTTGCCGCTGCGAAGCCCTGCAAGGTAGTGCTGCCTAATAGGCACGAAGTGCTACAGAGTGCGTCCTTTTTGAATGCAGCCGAAGAACCCATCGACTTGTCCAGGCATGGGCTGGAAGAACCTGAAAAGGCCCAGGCAGTAGCATTGAGTCAAAGTAAATCTGCACCTTGGGATGCCGAAAACGAAGCGCTGTTGAATGGAAATTCCTCCTGCTCGTCTGGTTCGTTGATAGTGGACGAGGATAAACTACTGCAGCTGGACGACGAAGAGTTTGCTGTGGAAACCGGCAGCAAAGCGCCGGCATTGAATATTTTGTCGGTTAAGGTGCTGAAGCCGAACCAGGAGCCTGATGTCGTACTTGACAGTAAGATTGAGAGTTTGACAGCCAACCCTGATGAGGCACTGGACAATTCGGCTGAGAATTTGATTGCCAACACTAATGAGACACTTGTCAATGCGGTTGAGAGTTTGACAGCCAATCCTAATGAGGCACTTGACAATACGGCTGAGAGTTTGAGATCCAACCCTAATCAGACTCTTGGCAGTGAGGTTGAGAGTTCGACAGCCAACCCTGATGAGGCACTGGACAATTCGGCTGAGAGTTTGATTGCCAACACTAATGAGGCACTTGACAATACGGTTGAGAGTTTGACAGCCAACCCTAATGAGGCACTTGATAATGCGGTTGAGAGTTTGAGATCCAACCCTAATCAGACTCTTGGCAGTGAGGTTGAGAGTTTGACAGCCAACCCTGACGAGGCACGGGACAATTCGGCTAATTTGAGTGCCAACACTAATGAGACACTTGTCAATACGGTTGAGAGTTTGACAGCCAACCCTAATGAGGCACTTGATAATGCTGTTGACAGTTTGAGAGCCAACCCTAATCAGACTCTTGGCAGTGAGGTTGAGAGTTTGACAGCCAACCCTGTTGAGGCATTGGACAATTCGTCTGAGATTTTAATTGCAAACCTTAATGAGGCACTTGACAATACGGTTGAGAGTAGTTCGACAGTCAACCCTAATGAGATACTGGACAATTTGGCTGAGAGTTTGACTGCCAG